ATATCTTGTAATCTCAGATGACTAGCCATTCTAGAATTATCAAGTATTGCGCTTCTAGAATTATCAATTTCTTGTGCTTACGAGGGTAGAATAATAATTTTTGTCTGGTCTCTTTGGAAGGCTCTGTTGAGCACACGCACCTGCTCTGGGTCCTTACAGATCCACTTCAGATATTGGTAAGTCATCTCAATATTTTCAGATGGGCTTTAAGTAACATGTATGTACTGTTGTGTATTCATGTGTGTGCAGGTATGTGCAGGTGTGCTTGCCTGTGCATGGGCATGTGGAGGGCAGAGGTCAATGTTTGAAGTCTTCCTCTATCTCCACCTGTTTTTTGTTTGTTTGTTTATTTGTTGTTGTTTGACTCTGGGTTCTGTCACTGAGCCTAGAGCTTACGGAGAACCTTCAGTTTCCCTTCTGCAGCCCAGCCTTGCGGTTACCGGTGTGCCCTGATCAGCCTGGCTTTGACGAATGTACTGAGGCTCTGAATTCATGTAGGTCATCAGGTGTGTGCAGCCAACATTTTGCCAGCTGAGCCAGCTTCCCAGTCTTTGAAGTATTTCATCTAACCACATGCATGTCTTCTGATGAGTAAATTAAAATAGAAAAGGGTTTTTTTTCAAAAAAAATAAAATGCAATAAAGCAGAGATTGATGTCCCATGCCATCTTGTGCAAGACGTTCCTTGTCTCTAAAAAAATTAAAATGATATTTTAATGGTGCAAAAATTAATCTTTCTTAAGCCAGGAAACTGGCAGTTGTGTAGCAAAAGAAGTCGCTGACTGTAGCAAGCAATCTGGAGAAGAACAAAAATCATTTGCACCAGTGAGAAGTATATTTGCATTTTCTACATTGATTCTTACACAGTGATTCGGAATTAAAATTCTGAGTTAAAGTTTAATACCTTGAGCCGGGCGGTGGTGATACACACCTTTAATCCCAGCGCTCAGCAGACAGAGGCAGGTGGATCTCTGTGAGCTCGAGGCCAACCTGGCCTACAGAGCGAGTTCCAGGACAGGCTCCAAAGCTACAGAGAAACCCTGTCTCGAAAAACAAAACAAAAGCAAAACAACAAAAAATAATACATTATGAAGTTTGAGTATTGCATTCACGTGTACACATAATAACTTGAAGTGCATGTAGTTTTTATTTTTATAAGGTTCATTATTTTATTTCCTCATCCCAGTAGCTGCCTTTGCGGAGGACGTGTGTGGCAAAGCTGTTCTAATGTATTCCTTGGAGCTGGCTGGTTCGTTCATGGCGTGTTTTCCTGCTAAAAGCACTGTTGCCTATTTAATTGTGAGCATCTGAGAGGAAAGAGAGAACCCCAAACTGTTATTTCCTTTTGTCCTCTCTAATTCAACACAGAACACTGCTGCGACCAGATGTGTGGGAGTTTTTCCACATACACAGTCAGGAGAGGAGCACTGGGCAAATTGAATTGAACGGTTAAATTGAACAAAGAGCCACGAATTGGGCAGCCCTCGGAACCAGAAGAGCTTCGGGGATACTTCAATGGCTTGACAGCACTGATAAACAGGAAAAGGAAGGCAAGGAACAGAAAATGGATGTGAAGTGTAGAAAAAGGAAGTGGGGTACAGAAAGAGGAAACGGGGTACATAGACAGCTGGACTGGTAGGAGCTTGGCGTTGGCCAGACGTGAGCATGATTTGACTAGTTGGCCACATACAATCGACTGAAGCTTAGCTAGTGACAGGCAGAGACTCAATTCCTTGAGGTAAACTCCTTGAGTTTTTGGTTTGTTTACATAGTGAATAAGCTGACCTCTCGTCAGGGGGACTGGCTGACTTGACACTTTCAATGCCAAGGAACTCTTCAGAGGACAAAAGATGGGTGTCTATCATAGCATTCAGTTCCATCTAACAGACTACCCCTCTGCACCCCACTTCAGATGAGGGCTGCAAGTCCCAGCTTTGACCTCTGCTTAGGACTGTGTGTCAGGTTTTCAGGTTTTCCTTCAGGGGTTCAACCGTTTGCTAGGCTGGCTCACAGAGCTCAGAAGGATGGTTAGCTTTTGTGTATGGTGAGGGACAGCCTAAAGAGTAACAACCAGATGGATTGCACAAGCCGGGCAAAGTGTGGGGCTAGGGACATAGCTTCCTCCCGGCCCCTCTCCCAGCTTTAGAGCCCACCCTTAAGTTTATCGAACCTCATTTTCTGAGAGTGTTTGCAGAGCTAGAAAGTGTCTGGCCTTCTAGAGGTTGGTGAGTGAGACTCAGGAGTCCCCACCCTGTTATCACATTGTCCTTTGGGGCCTCACCCTTGGGATTTCTAGGGGCTCTAAGGTAGGTAATGCATTAGTGTGACATCAGTTGTGATAACAGGGGGTCATTTTGGATAATGAAAGGTATTTCTACCCCAGAAAATAGGAACCTTGTTGTGGGAACGTGGGACAAAACCCAGGACCATGTCTGTCATAGTGTATTTCTGGTCATTTGGGAGAAAGGAGTAGAGCATTTTCAGGGCTGAGGACCCCACCTTTCTAGCACTATTAATAAACCCCAGAGACAGATGTTGGGGTTCAACCTGAAGATCAGAAAAACAAAGCAGCCAACCACTAGAGAGACCTTATACCTCTACCAAATCTTTAGACTGAAGGGAAAAAAAAAAGAGATTCTATCTTCATGAATCCTCAAAACTACACACTAGACTGAGTTCCTGTCTCTTCCCCTTTATATACCTCTCTCTGCCCAGCCATATTGCTCCTGTCTCCATCTCTCTAATGCTGGGATTAAAGGTGTGTGACTCCCAAGTACTAGGCTCACCTTTGTACGAACTCTGTTTTTCTTTTTAGATAGATTCAATCGTGTGTAGCCCAGGGTGGCCTTGAATTCACAGAAGTACTTCTGCCTCCGTCTCCTGAGTCCTGGGATTACAGGTGTGAGCCACCACCACTCTCTGGCTTGTATGGCTGGTTAGTATGGCTGCTTTGTTCTCTGATCTTCAGGCAAACTTTATTTATTAAAACACAAATAATATACCACTATACACACAACTTGGAACCAAAATTCAAATTCATAAAGTCATTCAAGTCAAATTCATAAAGTCATTCAACCAAGGCTCCTCCCCAATTCCCTTTTGGGAAGTGTGGGTGTGCCCGCTGCTTCCCCTTCAAAGGACATTTTTCTTAAGTCAAATATTTTCGCAGCAACCATTTCACTACTCCAGATTCAAAACCGGTTCACTCTTCTGTTTGGCTTCTTGGGAGACAATACTGATGAAATGACCTTGGATGTAGCCCTGCAGTCTTTGGCTCCAGCAGGCACTGTCCCAGGCATAGCTTCACCAGACCTCTTTCTAGCGGGAGGCTGGGTAAATTCTGGTGGCCATTCTCATCCAGGTCAGAGGAGGGATCATTTCTTCCCATGGCCCAGTAGAAAGCGGTGATGGGCATAAGTTTTGTTTGGATGAAGAACTGTGCCTCGATTGGGGCAAACATGGTCCTCTGTTTGCCTGAAAGACTGCCATGATGGGAAAAGCATCCTCACCACATGTACTTTCTGGTTATATATACACAGGCTGTTAGCTCACTCAGAGTAGTCCAGAGGCTTCAAAGCCATCTTCTCTTCTTTCTTCTCTCTCTCTCTCTCTCTCTCTTTCTCTCTCTCCTCCTCCTCCTTCTCCTCCTCCTCCTCCAGCTCCTCCTCCTCCTCCTCTCCTTCTTCTTCTTCTTTTGCAGGAGGGGGTTTCACTATGTAGTTCTGTCTGTAGACTGGTGCTGAGCAGGCAGCCCTCAAACTCACAGAACAGAACTGTCCTGCCATCCCGGCGCTGGTACTAAGGTTATGCGACACTGTTCTTGGCTTAAGAAGTTTCTTGATCAGCAGTTTCTTGATCACACTGGTGTGTGCACGTGTGGTGTGGTGTGTAGACACGCTGCATGCATGCGTGGGTGCAAGCAGCGGAGTGCACATGCAGCCTTCAGATGTTGGTGCAGTACAACTTTGAAACAGGTTCTGCCAGTGAACATGCGGCCTGCTGGTGGGGTTAGGCTGTTGGGCCCGTGAGCTTCTAGACTCTGCATGTTTCTGCCTTTTAATGCTAGGGTGAGGAGCATGTGCAGCCATGCCTGCCTCCTGTACTCACTCTGTAGATTCTAATACTTGCATCACCAGTGTTCTTATTCACTGAGCCGTTTCCCTAGCCCCACCCTGGCTCCTCCTTTAAAAATCCGAGGCACTGTCTAAGTAGCTCAGGCTGGCCTTAAACTTGTTAATAGTTTGAACACCTGGTCCTCCTTCCTCTATCTCTTGGAGTGCTGGAATCACAAGCTTGTACAACTCTACTCAGGGCTACATACATGCTCGACAAGCACCCTCTATTCCCAGCCCCTGGTTCCTTTTGATCTTTATAATTAGTGCAGTGGTGTGAGCTGGTAACGCAAAGAGGAGATGGTTGTTTGAAGCAGCGGAAGGCAGTGACGCCAGCGGTAGTAATGAACTGGCCGAAAAGGACTAGAACATGACAATGCAGGGAGAAGAGATGGTGGAGATAGAGAGGGTCGCGAAGAGTCAGCCTCAGCCGCTAGAAGAGTTCCAGGGGGCCCAGACATCAGTGGCCTCTGGGTCCCAGGCCTGTAATGGCAGCTGCAGGAGCTGCTGGTCCAAAACCCAGAGCCCATTCAGGAGCTGCAGCCCCAATGGCAACTGCCCGCTGCCGCCTCACACAGCGGCTGTAAGGAGAGGATTACAACAGTTGCAAAATACTGGGGTTTGCTGGTGGTTAAAGTCCAGCGCAATAAGCCTCCAGCCTGAATGCCTAGTCATGTCTCCCGCCTCTAAGCATGAAGCAACAGGCCCCTGGTTATCAGAGTTTGGAGCCGTGAGCCTCCCAGCCCAGTCCAGTGCCCCCCTCCTGCAGATGCATGCCCTTGGGGCACAGAGAACCTCTCTGCTTGTACTCACAATGTTTTGTGTACTTTTGGAGACAGGATCTCCGAGTCACTGTAGTTCTGGCTGTCCTTGAATTTGCCATGTAGACCAAGGGGCTTGGAACAAATCCTCTTGCCTCTGCCCCCTGAGTGCTGGGGTTAAAGGTGTGTGCCACCAGGTCTGGTCGCTCATTGTGTCTTCTGTCCGGGTAAAGAACCCCGGCCCTCTGATTGGTAACACTGTCATCAGGGTTCTTCAGTGGCAAATGAGCCCAGTCCATAGGACATTCATGAGAGTCCACTTTTGAACTGGATAATCCTCTGGAAGTGGATTAGATAGCCCCCTATCCAATGACCTGCTAAAAAGACATCCCGTAATTTCTCTCCCATTTCCAAGTTTTGGACAGTTTTTTTTTCTGGCATCACATTTTTTTTAAAGCTATACATACATATTTCTTCATAGAAGGGCATGGGGAATGGAGGTAAAGGTTGTTTGAAAATGTCCCCAGTGGTGGATTTGTTGAAACACTGGCATGTCAAAGATCAGAGAGCTGGATTTACCAAAATGTTGCCTAAACGCCACACACATTTTAACACACTGTCTGTCCATCTACTTCCCAAAGCAGGCTTCTCTCTTTGTTGGACAGAAACTTATCTTCTCAAGAAAGCTTGTTACAAGACACTAGAAAGTTTATTTTTACCGACTTCTTCCTAGGGCAGCACTTCTATGGGCGTGTGCCTGTAATTAGAGGGAGGGAGAAGGCCAAGGAGGGCACCTGCCCAAGCAAAGCGGAGAGTGCCCGTGCCCTTGGGACAGCCCTGCAGACAAAACTGAAAGCCTTCACACCAGGTCTTACTTCCTCCCCTGCAGCCTCCCTCAGCCCCAGTTCTCACTCCCTGCCTTAACTCTAAGGTTCCCACCAATGTCCGCCCAAACCAGAGACCTAAGTGACCTTTGCAGTTTCTCCTTGCTTTTCTTTGCCCAATATTATACTAGTGTTAACTTACGGTGGACTGCGTTCTATGACACTCAATTTCTGCTTCTCTCCAAAGTTCAGAGATCACGTGCCCCACCCCTAAGTGTTGTATTTCCTGGATTCCCACACTAGCTCAGGGCTGATTCCCTCACGCCCCGCTACTGATCTTATTCTCACAGCAGAGACCTTTACCTCTGCAGTGAAACATATTTCTCCAACCTTTTGTTCCCACCCGGGAGCAGTCCCTCATGTAGTTTCTAGAACACACTGTGTTCCTTCATTCACGTCTTTCTCAATTCCTAACAAGCTGGGCGCCCACCAAGCAGCTGGAACTTTTGTTTTGTCACCTAATCAAGTATTTTCACCCCCTGGTGGACTGGCACAAATGACTTGTCTCCCTCTCCTCGCTCTCCCTCGGTGCGGCGACCACCACATCCCAGCTCTCCTTGTGTTGTCCAGGAAGAGTCCCCTTCTAGTGACCCTCGCCCCTCTCCAGTCTCCCTAGAGACCCTATAAGTCACACTTGGAACCGCGACGTTTCCTCCTAGCACAGTCCGTTTTCGCCCCGTGGCGGGTCCGGCGCGCAGCCGGTACACCAGGCGCACTTAGGTCCCCGAACCCCCGCTCCCCGCGGGGGACCCCGCGCTCCGCTGCCCTGCGCCGGAAGCCTCTGCGCCGCCCCTTCCCCGCGCCGCTGGCCTTATCTCTGCGCACAGGGGCCTCCGGGGAGTGGCGGGCGCCGGGAGGGAGAGGGTGGCATGGGCC